GTACTCCAATGTTTCTTCAATTAGATCATCCGGAACATCAATTTGTTTTGGTAGCAGCCCCATGAGATCCAACTTCCTTTTCACTCTATGGGGGTTCTTGTAGTTGTTGCCAACTTTAACTTTTAAAACTTCTAGCATAACATATTGAAGATGCAGCCAAGTATAGTTTAATAGTTTTGGCTCATAATCATTAAATGCATCTTGGACTGCAGTGACTAGTTCATCTACGTTCTTAGGAAAAGCTCTGTGTTGAATTGACTGAAAACCTCTAAAAAATCCCAGATCAAGTATGTTCAAATCCGGACTTTGGGCGGGCTGGCATGTTAGTTTGATATTGAACCCAAATGCAGTAGCAGCTTCAGTAAATTTTTCATCATGCACACTTATATAAGGCCTAGCAATATCTTGTTGAATCCAAATGTCTTTGCATGCATTAGATGGCCACTTGTTCCTTATAGCCGGTAAAACTAAAAAAATCAATTTGGCCCTAATAATGTCTTTTGAAACACTTTGTATTGCTTTTGTCTCTGGAGTGCCAACACTCCTATTAACTGAGCTTCTTTGTGCACAAACAACTTCTGTGAATGGAAAAATTACAATTTTACCATCCCATAAAACTTGCCCCTCAACTGAAATGTGTGGTCTTGCTACTGCAGCCAAGAACATCACCTTTCCAATGAATTTTTTGCTTTGACCGCTTCTATATGGATCATCCTCCCAAGGAAATAGGTAAAACTTTTGCGTTTGTTTTTACATGTAGAACCACTTCTCGTCTATGTGAACCATGTTGTACATTGAACTAAACTTAGGAACAGTGTGCATTTGCCTGGGAATAATCTGACCCATAATGTGTTGTAGCCTCTTAATCATGTGTGAGTGAGTTAGTTTAGGCTTAATGTTGTTTGTATGGCCTCTCAACTGACCTGTTTTAAGCATTCTGTAAACAGTGGAGTGATTAATTCCAAAAGCAATAGATAAAGATCTGATTGTTGTCCTTTTCTGAAGAGGCACAGCTTCAAGTGTACCTAAATAGAACTCTTTTGCTTTCCTTCAAGCTCTTCCTTTTTTCCTGCTTTTTACATCTATCATTGTGCATGTACCTAATTGCAATTTTGCTGCAGACCAGAGTCTCCAGATAGTGGTTCTGTGGACTTTAAACTTTGCAGCAATCTGAGACACAGCTCCTTCTGGTATATTTTTCCCATCGGCTAGTAGCAGAAGTTTTTCTATAAGGTGTTTTCTTTGAATATTTTTGAGCTCCACCTTTTTTCTCCCAGATGATTGTATTTCTTCCTCACTTTCAGTTTTAGATAAGAAAGAAGATGATATGGCTGCATCTGGGTCGAAGTCAAAGTCAAAAAGCATGGCCTCCTCCAATTCAAGAAGCTCTGACCCTGAAATTTCTTCGTCCATTTATGGAGCACTGGAATTTTGCGTATTTTGTTTTTGGTAGACATAGCTCTTTGGTTTTCTGAATTTGTAAAATGCTAACTTCTCTCGTGACTACTCTGTATTTAATGTAGGCTCCCTCAATTATGGAGGGAAATTTGTTTTTTTCACTTTGGCAAGTCCCTCCAATTTTTGGGATGATAGAGTTGTAAAAGTAGGAAGTTACAAGCCATTATTTGCACTATAGCTCTTTGTACTCTTCTAATTTTTAAAAAACAATTGCTTTATGTACCGTAAGGTTTTTGTCAGGTCTCCAGAGGTTTGTTTTAAATTGGGGAAAATATTACTTTATCCCTATTTCTTAATTTGTGTGCCTTAAAGGTATGTTGCATCTAAATAAAAACGGAGGATAGTATTTGATGATGACTGTATGAATTTGTAATAATTAGTTTATTTGAAATTTGAATTTTTATTAAATTCTTGTTATTGGGTGAATTTCTAATGATTATTGTTATATAATGTTTATTCATTCTGTGATTGTATGAATTGTTTTTATAGTATTTAATTATTATAAAAAATATAAATGAATTTTTAAATTCAAATTCTTATTAAAAAGTGCGCAAAAAATTATTTTAATTTTTTTAAAATATAAAAAGTTTGTCACGGACTCTGGCCGTGACAAATCTTAAACTTTTTAAATTTTTTCAAAAAATTATTCTAATTATTCCGTCACAATTTTTTTTTAAAAAAAATATTTGTCACGGATATGAAAAATATTTGAATTCAAAAAATTTCAAGTTACCCGCCTAGCCCATTTCGGATATTTAAAAAAAATCAAAAAAAGTTTGTCACGGATAAATCCATGACAAGTTTCTTTTGTCACGGACTTTGTCACGACCATTATCCGTGACAACCTTGGCGTGACAAAATTATTGTCACGGATCCGGATCTGTGACAAAGTTTGTCACGGATTTGTCATGGCTATTTTCTGTGACAAAACATGGCACCGGAGAGACCGTTGGACAATAAACTCTTCATTTCGGGCGCTATATTACCATAGTACTACTCCGTATAGCAATAGCAGGTTGTACCATTCTAGTCATAGCATTACATAGACTTGGGAGGTGGTCAGATGGTTGGACTTTTTGAGAAGATAGCCGTTTGATGCTGATTTGGGAGCAAATTCAAAGCTCTAATTCCCTCTAAACGATGTAAAAAATTTAAGGTGTTTAGTATTCCCAACTAGTAAAATACGGAGTACTTAGTAAGTCCGTAAAACTAAGCACTAACCATAAACCATGCTTTCTCTTGATAGAAATTCATCAATTCTTTTTTGCGTTAGGATTCTTATGTGTATTTTTTTTGGGTAGATTATATGGTACCCTTAAGGCAGGGACGGATCCAGGATTTCGAGTCAAGGGGGGCGAAAATTTTCGTTAGTGTAGGAGATAAAAAATTCATTAGTGTAGCGGGGTGAATTTTTTTCTAGTGTACCGGGGCGAATTTTTTCACCAGTGTAAGGCTCTGTGGCTATTTTTATTTAAAAAAATTTCATTAATACATACGTGACGACATTTAAATCTATATATTATATTCTATGTTTAGACAATGACAAAATAACTTTAATTTTATAATTGGAGTGTTCTAGAAAAAAGTATTGATACATTAAAGCATAAGAAATGACAAATCAATGGAAAATAATACAAAAATAAAAAAGGATATATAACATTTTATTTAAATATAAAGAGTTTATAAGGTTCACATTCACGAGTACTTTTAAAATAATTTCAACATTGTTTAACTACATGAGTCTTATAGAAATAAAGAATTGATTTTTGAATTACAATTTTTGTCTATCATTGAGGGTGTTCATAAGTCACAGGCAATTCTTTTAATATTACAATAGTATGTATGATATTATTATTTTTAGAATAAAATTATATTGATAATTCATATATATAGTGCATATTATATTTGTATTAATGCTAAAATAATTAAATTTTATTATCTATGCAATAAAGTCTTTTTAGAATGTAAGAAGTAAATGAATAGTGTAATTCAATGTCAATAAACATTTATAACTTGGATTACTTCACATGATCTAAAAACTTTGTAGCTAGAGTGTCTGGTATTTAATATCGTTTGATATATATTTTTCAAAATTGTTTACTAGTTATCGAATAAAGATAATTAAACATTACAAAACTAAGATTTTTTATATAATAAGTATCCTAAATCTCTAATAATGAGTTCTTCTATTGTTTATTTAAGTTATGTAAATTATTTTAGATGTTCCTTTTTTAAATCTCCGATTAAGTATTACATTATGTAAGACTATATATCAATTTTAAAAACTAAAAGTTAAGGGGGGCAATGTTCAACAAAAAAATTAAGGGGGGCGAATCTAATTAAAGTATCAAAATTTTACAAAAACATTACATATATAGTAGAAAATTTGAAAGTCCAAGGGGGGCGGTCGCACCCCAGCGCCCCCCCTTAAATCCATCCCTGCCTTAAGGTATCATACATTTGTCCACATGGACCAATAAGAATGATGTAGTTGAATTATTTAAATCTAAATTAAAAATGATGTAATGATTTGAACCAATCAAGTGAGTGGTAAGTACGGTACCCCCATTTTTTAAATGTGTATCGGAGTTATCACCTTTTTTTTATCCACCATAGAAGAATGTTCAAATAATGATCATGTGTATGGCTTAATTTCGGATGAAGATTTGTGTTGAAATTTCACTCTTTCCACACTTTCTCTATTAATATGTGACCAAAACTCATTTATATCTTTTCCACGGATATCAAAGCAATGTTACTACACCAGTCCATATCATCTACGGAGTGATAAATCAACAACTTTTTGGTGTATACAAAGTTTATACATACAACATACTTGACATACGTTTGTATGTAATTGTTTGTTTACGCAGAGGATTGCTGCATTAGCTGCTTGGATGGGTACACAAACAACTATGATGTATACACATTGTCTATGTGCACAGATAATTACATACAAATGTATGACAAATGTTTACAAATTTCGTGTACAAATATATTTTTTGTGAAATGAAAGATTGAGACCTAACATGGACAGAATCGTCCCAACATGAAATATGAGTTTAAGATTTATAAGTTCTGCTCGTATGAATTTTTTAAAATATAGTCGATCTGAATTTTTCAAAAATAACTCAATTTGATCTCAATCTTTTTGATCTAATTTGAATATTTTTGATATGATTTGAATATTAGTATTACACTTGTGCGCTGCACAGGACGTAAAATGAAGATATTTTATCACGCAAATGAGAGTAACAATTAGAGTTTATGAAATTCACCGTGCTCTTTCATGTCTTATTGATTACAATATATAGAGTATGAATACAACAACTATCTATATGCTTGCGGTAGACATTCCTATCCGCAAGGCTGATCAGTTTGGTGAACAATCGTAAGTGCCGTGTAGGCTTACAATCCGGTGATCCCTAACTCTATAACCGTATTTACATCCATTAAGCTAAATAGATAATAATGTACAATATTTAAATAATAAGATAATGATGTACAATAATGATAATAAGTATAAAATATTCCATGCATTATCCATTCTGTTGATGTGTGCCATGCATGCCATGCATGCTACGGTTTAACACGCCCCCGCAATTGCAGCAGGAGGCATTCGTATGCTGAGACTGGTCCTGAATTCATCAAAAAGAATACGTGGAAAACCTTTGGTGAAGGTATCAACATACTGGTGACGTGACGGAACATGAAGAACCCGGATCTCACCGCGAGCTACTTTTTCACATACAAAGTGTGTATCCATTTCGATATGCTTTGTACGCAGATGTTGTATAGGGTTGCCGGAGAGATAAACGACGCTAATATTGTCACAATAAACAACGGAAGCCTTGTGAGGACGATGATGAAGTTCGAGCAGCAGATTACGTAACCAACATAGTTCGGCAACGACATTAGCAACCCCGCGGTACTCAGCCTCGACACTGGAGCGAGAGAGGGTTGGTTGACATTTGGAGGACCAAGATAATAGGTTGTCACATAAGAACACACAATATCCAGAAGTGGAGCGGCGAGTATCGGGGTAGCCACCCCAGTCAGCGTCGGTGTAAGCCCAAGTTGAGATGAAGGCCAAGTTGAGATGTCCCTTTGATATAACGTAGAACCCTTTTAAGAGCATGAAAATGTGGGGCCCGTGGATCGTGCATGAAGAGGCATAGTTGTTGCACTACATATGAAATGTCGGGCCGAGTAAACGTGAGGTATTGGAGCGCCCCCGCAAGGCTACGGTACAATGTGGGATCATCAACGGGAGGTCCATCTGAAACACTCAATTTAGACTGGGTATCAACCGGTGTGGCAGAAGGATTACATGAGGTCATCCCGGTCTGTTGTAATATGTCCGAGATATATTTGGATTGGGAGAGAAATATCCCATCTTGATGGCGTGTGATAGAGATTCCCAAAAATAGGTGAGTGAGCCAAGGTCGGTCATTGCAAATTCCGTAGCTAAGGATCGAATGATATGTTGTAAGAAGGAGGTGGATGAAGCTGTGAGGATAATATCATCGACGTAAAGTAGAAGATATGCCGTGTGATCTCTTTGCTTGGTGATAAAAAGAGAATGATCACATTGACTATGAGAAAACCCAACAGTGGTGATGTATGTAGCAAATCGGTGGTACTAAACGCGAGAGGCTTGTTTGAGGCCGTAGAGGGATTTAAGTAACATTAATAAATGCGTAGTACGTAAATGATATAGAGTAACATATAAACATAATTATAAACATTAAATACTAAAGACTTCCACATAGACTACATTTTATTACAATTTTTTCTGATATCTTTCATCGTCGCATATTACGAAGTACTCCAAAGCCCGTAAGGCTTCTCTCCCACCCACGACCCCGAACTGGTATTAGATGGGCCATAAGGATCAGTATAGCCCAACAATCCACGGATGAAACTAAGATTTAGAAGTCTCTCATATTTGAACTACACCCAAAACCAGCTATCACACGCTTCTCGGACTTATGTCCTTTTCAACGCATTCTTGATATTTATAGCAACGGGGATGCGAACATACTCCTTATTGTCTCCTTTTAGAGTTCTTTCATCAATTTGAATCAATTTTCCCAAGTAACGACCAATACATATCGCCACTTTCTCCTTCATAAAGCTTAGAGGTAGATCATGAATCTGAAGCCAGAACTCTGCATGATCAAACTCTACCTCTAGTGGCCTATCTTTCACTAATGCATGAAAAATCGAGTAAAATATTGAAATGTTTATTATGGTGACGTGTGCCTAGAACAGTTGTCATTCCGAATGTAAACTACCAAACAAGTCATTATGCTTTGACATTGTTTGATAACTGATCCTATTTTTGACTTATCGCTTTATTAACAATTTTTTTATCAATAATTTTTTATTTTGCGCACAAGTGTGTAATGATAAGAAAAGTAAGATTGAAGTTAATCTTAAAATTGAATTACTTGAATTTGTTAAAGAGGGTTATTTATGAAAGAGGAAGAGATCGACATGTCGCTAATGTCCCAAACAAAGGCATTAATTACTGAATGTAGGTAAAAAAAGATTTAATACCAAAGCTCTCCTTTACACCTCCTAATCCTACACATCCTTTTTAGTTTTCAATGGAGAAAATATAAAATATAGTGACTTCTTATAAAAGGAAATATCAGTATCTATCTCATTTTGATCTCTTATAAAAAACTATTTTCAGACATTAAGGAATTAACAATTAAAGGTTATTTTTTTCAAGGATCGCGATTTGTGCTAATCTTAAAACACTTTTTCAAAATAAAAATTAGAGAATGGGAAATGAGACCTTGAACATAGTCATTTTTGTGTGGTTTATACTCCATTAGTCATTTTTGTAACAATTTTAATTATTTTGTAATGTCAAATAATCACATTCACTTCTTATTGCCTAACTTAGGATGCTTTTACTTGGACTTTAATTTGCTGGTCTGGTCTGGTCTGATCTGCTCTGGTCTGGTCTGGTCCGGTTTCGTTGTATTTTTATAACTATCCAAGTCTGGTCTGGTCTGGTCTGGTCTGATCTGGTCTGGTCTAGTCTGGTCTGGGAGGAATTACAGTCCAAGTAAAAACATCCTTGTTTAACATTTTCAGTCATTATGCATCACACGGGTGTTATACTAACGTCCAAAAGGTTGAATCCCCAACCCCAAGGCCCCCCCACCCCGACCCGACAGGATGGTGGGGGAGTAAATCACGGCGACTCAGTCAGCAAAGCGGCAGTAGGTCTTTACTCGTGCGCACCAGAGGGCCAGCCTTATTTCAGGTTCTGAAAACCCCCTTTTGACCGCCGCGGGATTCGAACCTTGGTCTACGTCCAATTTTTCTCACCACTCGACCAACTGAGCTACCCGTGCGGGTACGAGTGTTATACTAAGAGTCTATTTAGGGACCTTGTTTTTCGATTTATTTGTTTTATCAACCAACTTTTCCACAAAATAAGTAGTAGTAAATTTTAATTTTGTGCGTTAAATTATGTAATACTCAAAATAAGTAAGGTTGAAATTATTTTACTGTAAATGATCATTTTAGTTATTTACTTATTTTCTTATAATTTTTTCTTTTTTTTATTATTGAAATATATTTTAAATATAATTTTTTCATAAATAATCATCTAACACGTTAAGTTTCATAAGTTTCCACACATTGAATTGATTCAGTCAATTTTAATTTTACTAAACTGAAACTAATATGAACAGCACCGAAAACAAAAATGATATGGACTCGATTTTCACGAGTGCAATTTTGTTCACCCCTTTAAGGAGGGTGAACATCACCCCCTTCCCATTTGTTGCCATGTGCCTTCTTATTCTCTTGTTTCTTAATTTAAAAGCATTGTCATTACATGTGGCAGCCCAATAGGGGTGAACAAAATTATATTCGATTTTCACTCTAGTCCCGATTGTTCTCTCTGTTCTAGTTGCTTTGATTCGGTGTCGTTTCTATATTAGAAATTGACGTCATTGCATACCTTTGTTTTTTTGCTTTGGACGTCATTGCATATCAAAACATTGGCGGAGCCGTGCATATTTCCCTTTCCATGTCTTTTTATCAAACAAAGACAGCCGTGAATATTCCACAACAATGTTCAGCACCAATCTTAAATACAATAAATAAAAGGGAGAACTATCAATAAGTCATCGAACTTTCATAAAAAGTGCAAATAAGGCCTTTTATATGAGGACTTTATCCGGCTGTCGTCATTTGAGACGGTTTCTGGTGGAATTTTTTGATGATTTTTTTTGAAAATCTTCTTCATTATGTCTAGTTTACTCATACTAAATTTCAGATAAAAATTCAATTGAGAAGCTAGTCAAATCATTTTCTGAAATATACTGCGCTGCATAACTGCGCAGTTATCTTCAAAAATTCATTTGAGTGCCTTCCCGGTTGAATTTGTAGTTGAAATATGGTATGAGTAAACTAGACTTAATGAAGGAGATACTCAAAAAATTTCATCAAAAAATTCCACCTGAAACCGGACATAGCCTCTTATAAAAGGGCTTATTTGCACTTTTTATGAAAGTTCGAGGGCTTATTTGGTAGTTCTTCCTAAATAAAAACTATATCGCCGCCAGCTCGAAAATTAGAATTTCAGAGTCCGTTGGATAACATTAAAATTGACCGAATCAATTAATTTTGTTAAAATTTAAAAAGTTCTAGCGGAAGTTGTTGATTGTATCGAATTATAAAAAAAATTAGATATTTTTTGTTAATAAAATAAAAAAAAAGTTATATGAAAAAATGTCTAAAATGACCATCTACAGTAACTTGACTCAATTTAACTGGAAAAGTAACTATAACCGCCTATATTTTGTTTATGACACAACTGAATGCGCAAAATGAAATTTAACCGATAAGACTGATAAGACGAAAAATAGAGTCATCAAACGAGCTAGGAATTGTAGAGTAACAATAATTTTGTACTATTCACAAGATGTTCAAACTTAGAACCCGTTTGGTGACCCTGTTTCTCCGCTTATCAGCCAACATTTTCACCAAACACGTAACTTTTGATTTCTCACGGTGAATCGTGTAATAATAAGGAAAAATATGGTTGGAGTTAGTTTATGGCTATATTGGCTGAAGTTACTATAGAAGATCATTTTAGCTATTTTATCATGTATTTTTTTTTATTAATAAAATTTATTTTAAATATAATTTTTTTTATAAATCAGCAGAATAAGCCAATGCAATCAGAACTTCATGAATGTCAGCAGAATGAGCCGATTCAGTCGATATTAATATTACCAAACAAGCACTTAACTAGAGGAGAGAACCGATATGAACTATATAATGATTCCTATTTTCAAATAAAAGTTTGTGTATTATTTGTAAGGAGATATAATCAAATAGAGTGACCAAACTAAGTTTATAAACATTTTTTTGCCAAAAATTGCACGTATTTTCTTTCCGCCGATTTGGGATGAGACACAGCTCCAATTCGGCCCTCGCTTTGTTGATCTAGACTCTGGGTTCCCTGTATGGACTTTGCATTGGAGGGACGAGGGATTAAGAGCCCGTTTGGTGGCACCATTTTTTGACTTATCAAACTTATCGGCCAACTTTTTTACCAAAAACGTGATTTTTGTTTTGGCGTGCTGAATTATGAAATAATTAGAAAAAGTAAGGTTGAAGTTACTTTTCTGGCTATATTGGCTGAAATTACTGTAGAAGATTATTTTTGCTATTTTTCATATAATTTTTTATTTGATTAACTAATAACAAATATTTTAAATATAAGTTTTTCATAAATCAGCGGAGTCAGCCAATACAACCACTTCAGCCAGAACTTCATAAATTTTAGCAGAATCAGCCAATTCAGTCAATCTCAGAGCCCGTTTGGTAGCATGAAGTTCTATTCGTGAAAATGAGGGTTTAATGCACAAAACCCCTTCGTGATATAGAAATTCAGCGCATTAATCTCTTGTAATTTGAAAAATGCGTCAAACCCCTTTGTGTTTTAATTACTCATGCACAGAACCCCTTTTATGAATAAATTTAATGATTTGGAAATCACTTTTCTTAATATTCTGATTGAATGTGCAAGTAAATATGTCAAAACCTCTGAATCATACAAAAATGTTAATCATTCTTCTTTTATTCGAAAATTAAATTTGTTCATAGAAGGGATTTTGCGTATTATTAATTAAAACACAAAAGAGTTTGACACATTTTTTAAATCAAAGAGATTAATGAGCCGAATTTTCACACGGGGGTTTTGATATATTAAACCCGTGAAAATGAATTACCCTGTATTTCTAAGATCCTTCGGTTCTTTTTAATTTTTCTTCGTATATCCCTTCCCGCCAATCACCTCACGCCACGAAAGACAAACCTCATATCAGAAAACACGTCCAGGTTCAATGAACCTATAATGCCGCCTTCTCTTCAGGCGATTCTCTCCTCTTTATATCTCTCATGAGCTGTACACTATAGAGACACAAAAAGCTTCACAATTCCCAGAACCCAGAAGAAAAATTGTCAAAATTCTTATTGCAGAGCGTCGGAATATGGCATTGGCTTTCAGTTCCGCTACCACGATTCGCGGTTCTTATTATGAACATACCA